TTTTGAAAAGTGGGGACATGGGGTAATGTCCTGAAAAGTCACCTTCTCCTTGTAATACCTATGTCATTATACAAATGTATGTCCTCATTTGTCACAAGTGCACACACACACACACGCACACACACACACACACACACACACACAATGGGTTTTATTCTGTACAAACTGTATATTCTATCCCCCTACACTAACCCTACTCCTAAACCTACCCTTATGAAAATTATGGTTTTCCTCATAGGGCCCAAAAAAGTCTCCCACACGGACAAGGATTTCAGATATTGCCATCTTTGTGGGGACATTTTGTTCCCACAACAGTGTTTCCCTGAACCACACACACACACTTACAAAATAATGGTTATCGTCTAAGATAAATCACTTATAGTACAAAAATAATTCATTATATTTGGTTATCCCTAAACTGCAAACAAGTTCTATAGAAACTATCTGTTGAATCTATATCTATAGATATCTATAGATGCACCAAATGATTCACTGATTAAGCATTAAAATGAGTTAGATTAAAAAAATATACAAATGTATTAAACTGAATGAGGAGACATGCAAATAAAAAGTCTGATAGTAAGAGCTTTATGAAAGGCATTTACTGTGAATGAAACCTTTATAGATGTGTAGTGAAAAGGATATTTTGTGATGGTGTGTATTGTAATAAGACAATTATGTTTGAAAAATGTTTGAAAAAAGTGCACTTTTGATGATCTGTTGTGATAGTATACTAAGAGTTTAGAAAAATTAACAGCTGCTTGTGAAAATAGTACAAAAGTGAATTAAAAAACTGTAGTTCTTTAATGTTACATATACCTGAGTGACAGCTTTCATATCTTTTTTTCTGAGTGTGTGACACTGAAGACTGCGGTAATGGCTACTGAAAATTAAGCTTTGCCATCACAAGAATAAATTACATTTTCAAATATATTAAAATAGAAAGCAGTTATTATAAATTAATAAAATAATATTTTAAAATGTTAGTTTTTACTGTACTTATGAAGTAAACGTGGCATTGGTGAGCAGGGACTTATTACAAAAACCTTACTATTAGACACAATTTGATGTTTTATTTTAGTCAGAATAATTATATTGTTAAATCCATGGATAATTCTCTGAAATGAAATGACAGAAGATGGGCATGTATAACATGTATGAGTCTTTGATCTCACTGATTGTATGACAATAACAAGATGCCAGGACACACAAAAGATAAAGTTTATTTATGCAATTTTTAGGATACAAAATTAAAATACAGCTAAGGCCATTGTATTTATTTAGTTTTAGTCCTTTCTTTCATCAAAGTACTATTTAAAAGGGAGCATTTGTTTTCACCTTGGAGTTGTTGTAATTTGTACAGGGTTTATAAGGGACTTTCAAGAACAGCAGAATTTTGAAAAATCCTTGCACATATCTTAAACACTGGCTCAGAGAAATGTATTGTAAATGTCAGAAGTGTTATATAATAATAATAATATAAATAATAATAAACTTAGAGGCATGTTTCTTATCAAACAACGGAATGCACATAATCCATCTGACATTAAACAAACTGATTCATGCAGGATAAAAAATAAAAAAAAAGTAATTACTAAGCATTATTTAAGCTGACCAACTGTTAGCCAAAAGAGAAAACTTTCCTTTAACTCATTTCATATGTTGAGTCACAAAGTTCATTTGCAGCACATTTCAGAAAGTGATCAAAAAATTGCAAATCAAAACCAGTGTTAGCAATTACAAGACTGGATGTAGGAATTTAGTTGCCTTTTTCAAGACAATCCTTGTTCTTATTATTATTTTAGTGGTTCAATCTCGGACATGAGCTCAGCTCTAGCTGTTGCACAGAATATGATGCGTTTCTAATGTGAATTCTACAGAAATAAGTAAATACTGAACAGCACTGCTCCCTCTTTTCATTGGTTGTTTTGAATATGTTTCTTTGTAACAGCTACATTGTAAACAAAAGCACACAGTTACCAAATTCACAAGGTTTAGGGTTTAGACCCCATGCATCTGAATCGTAACACAAAGTGGTCTACATATGTTCTGTTTCTAACATCATTCTCATTGAATTAAACACGGTAAAGGAGCGTTTGCATGAACATGAAGAAACGCTTTGCTCCCTTTGGATTTTTTTGTGGTTTACATGAGTTTATACATGTGCAAAGGAAAAGAAAATCATACAGGGGCCCTTGAAAAGACAAATGAAGAAGAAAAACAAGTTAGACTGAGAGAGGAAGTAAGGAAAACGAGGAGAGAAATGATTAAAGAGCAGCAAAATGAATAGTTGGCACATTCTTTGTGGTGTTGAGGGTGAAAGGCACAAATAAAAAAAGGATCAGATGAGTGAGGAAAGTGATTTTGGCCCCTGGTGTGCGGTGCTGGATTGGTCTCAGGTGATCACGTTGGGGCCTCTGTGTTCAGTTCGTTCATGGATGTTGGAGATTTTTAGAGCAATGGCAATGAGTGGACCCAGCACAACCTACAATGATCAAAAGAAAGAGTGAGGAAATATGTATTAAACAGACTGCCAGTATCATGAAACAAATGTAATACAATGGCAAACTGCATTAATTAACTGTCACCCCCCATTGTTTTAAATAGGCATGCAGGTGCACAATCCAAACTTAAATTGTTGTAATTTATGAACACTTTGGAATACAGACATAAGGTTGGTCTCTTTTTAAAGAAGAAAATCAGCAAATTATAGCAAAAGTGGAATTTAAAAAAAAAATGTAAGTATCAAAAAATTATAGTAGTTTAAATTTACTGTAAAGAAAATGCACTATATTAATTTTATTTTATTTTATATATAATTGTAACGCTGAGTCAGAGGCGTGCCATTTGCAGCTTTTATTAGAATAACAGGCAGAGTAAAACAGGCAGTATTCAGTCAACAGCATCATGTACAGCAGGGAGTAATCCAAGGGAATAAACAGTGGCAAAGCGAGGGTCGGGGCAGGCGGCAGAGAATCACACAAGTAAGAACAGTCCGAGGTAATACACAAGAGATGACAAGATAGGGGATAAACGCTCAGAAATGTAGCCGGGGCAATACAAGACTTCAGACCATAGAGAGTCTGGGAGCTGCTTAAATAGGGAAGCTAAGGGGGAACACCTGTGCCGTAATCAGCCCCAGGTACGGGGTGTCTGGGAAATGTAGTCCATGAACGTTAGTACTCGGGAGAGGGTGCCCTCCGGAGGCCGTCGGAGAGAGCCACAGAGGCCGATTCGTGACAATAATAAATATATTAAATATCAGGTTTTACTCTAAAATTGGTATAAAATTATAGCCTTATGTCTAAAGAAGTTATGTTCCAAATTTGAAGTTGATATGAAAACAATTGTGGTTCCTGTGAGATTTTATTTAGGGCGTTATACCACAAACAGCCACTGGGTGCCATCCAAACTCCATTGAATTTTTTTTAATGCATTTTTCTGTCACAAATGTCTAGATTTCTCTGTCAATATTACTTTTATCTCAAAATCCACCAAATATGGAATCCTGAGACTCAGACCTTTCCAATGATATGTTTTTGTCAAGATTATAAAAAGTTTTGATTCTAAAATACCGTAATTCATTTTGTAATATGACACTTGACACTGCACACTACGGGGGAGGAGACCGCCAAAAGATTTTAAAGTACCATTTCCATGGTAATGCAATGTCTGATTTCGAAATGGTTTTCATAGGATGAATCTTGAGCTTCTAAGCTTTCAAATGATATATGATTTATGATTATTACTAAAAGATTTGATAGAGAAAAAAGACAACAACAAAAAAGAGCGCCAAACGTCCCACAGGTGGGCCGGTGACAGTTAAGGGGTTAAAGGAATAATCTGGGTTTAGCTGAATAGACAACATTTGATTACCACAAAAATTTATTTTCACATGTATAGTGAGACACTTATAATGAAAGTGGATCGGGTCACCCCATAAACATTAAAATACTCACTGTATTAATAGTACAGCCACAAGATGTGAACAG